ATATTTAACTGCCTCTGTGGCCGAACGATTACCATGCTGGGCTGCCACGCAGAGATCCCAGGTTCAATTCCCGGGCCGGGAGAAATATTTGTATGGCCTACATTTATTTCTCTCATGAGTTTGGGTGTAATTTGTGGTTGTCTATGTGTGTATCCATAGCACCCGCGACACAGGGTTACCCTAGTGCAGGGCTATGTTGAATGTGTGCGTTAAAAAATATTAATTTTGAACGCGCGGATTGCTGGACGCGAGAGGCGGCCCCTCACACATCACCTCCTAAAATCTAGACTGGCATTCAAATACCTTGCCTTAATAACTTATGTGCTATTGTTTGCTAAACTAAGATTTCTTGTCATCTAATGACCAAAATCTGTCGTTGTACCTATAAAATCAAAATATATTGTGACCTGGAGAACCGTACCCAGCGGTGGAATGTGTAAAAAGTTGCCGACGATAAGGATTATGATTAAAGTGCCGTGATTGGAATTTTACATGACATTTAAAACCCTCTCTTTCCATTGGTACTAGGAGACCAGTAAGTTAGCGAATATGGTATGAATATAACGAGTGAAGTAATAGAGGCGGTGGTACTCGGTAGTCGGCGCTCTTGGCGCGGACTCAAGACCTCTTCATTCCCCATGTCTCGCCGGTAAATAATTGCGACTGCACCGCGAGTCGTGCCCCTCCTGTGACTATTACGTGCACTTTTTGTACACATGCCGGTAATATAATGTGGAACAACAATTTGTTAAAATATGGGTTACTTTCGATGTTGTTCAGTATCGTCGGTATTCACATTTCAGAAGTACCTTTTTTAACGTCTTATTCACGCACCACAGATTTTATACACGCTTTGTTAAACTACCGCACGTATATAATGCGTATTTTTTACTTCAGAGAAAAATTATATTCTAAATTTCCCATTTTATGGAAATAAAAAAGGCAGCTCCATTTTTAACTCAAAAGAATTACCATACAGAAATGCCGTGAAAAGGTTTTCGCTCATCACTCTCCCGTTGTGTATGTTTATCGAGTTGACAGCGTTTGGTATGCTTAAAATAATTTAATTTAAACATTCATTAACAAATCTGCCCAATTAAGTTGTGATGGCCTGCTTATTTCTTATTTTAGGCACACTCATGCACTCCTATTATTAACCGAAATCGACATACACTATTTTAAAAGAGTATTGTAAAAAGAATAAAAGGAATGTTCTAAATATATTTTACTGCAAATGCTACGCAGTGCTACGACATGGCTATGAGAAATCGACTACACTCGTAGAGTCTCGTAGCCGTAACTTCTAAAGTTGCGTAGTTAACGTTATCGCTTTGTTAATTCATAAATGGTTTTAAAATTTAATTACTAGCTTCAAACTTTTGTTGTATGTATTTATTTTAGCGTATATAGGGTAAAATGTTATTTATGTAACACCACGAACTATTATGGACGTCATTATCTACCGTAGGTAGCATATGTAGCATATTTCGTATGAATTATGAATGAATGATGATATTTAAATGAAATTATTTATAATATTCTATAATATATAATTTATTTGTAATATTTATTGTAATGAATATAAGATGTTTTTATGTATGTTATTTTTAAATTTCAGATTTAAATTACACCTCTAGTTTCGATGTAAAATGTCACATGTCACAAAGAAAAATATCTTCATATCCATTGACTTACAATTATATGGACGTCGGGTCCGCGCTAAAAAGTGTCCGAACTTATAGGGCGTTAAAATCGTATACAGAGCGTCATTCACGCTCTAGTCTTCGTTTGTTCGACTGACAGCGAAGCAAGCAAAATTAGACAGTACTGCGATGACATTACAATTTAAATTCAACGTTTTAGATTTGTCATATTCCTTGACATGTCACTACGTTTAAATAGGTTGACTTGGGACATTTTTTTCGTGGTTTTTGTATTAGACCCGTCGTCCATTTATTTGTAAGTCAATGTTCATATCACAACTTGTTCGTCCCGTCAATTGATATTATAAAAAAATTTATATTTATTTGCTTAAAATGAACTGTTGATTCTATTGATTTTACAAAGTATAGTAATAAATACTTTGAAAAGTCGGCACACAAAGTATTTGAAAACGCTTTTCGAAGTAACAAGGTCTTTGAATACCATATAGCCGGAAGAAACTATTCAAATAACGGAAAAGAGCGGTTTCTTAGGGCTTATTTTAGTGTTATCAAAACTGTTTATAGAAATAACTAAACCTTTTTAATAAAACAATTTCTATTTCACGTTCTTCGCGAGCTTTCCCAACTTGATTCAACAATGGTTAAATTAAAGGAAAAAAGCCTCAAAGTTTTGATAACCTTATTCAATAACATATGAGAGCTGTAAAAATATGTTTCATTGTAATATGATAATGTGTCCAACAACCTACTAGATAATTTCCTGAATCATGGGTACTGAGGCAAATGAAGGCCGGAAACAATTTAGTAAACTTCGTTTAAAATTTTGGTCCTATCAGGAAACGCACGCAGAACCTACTCGATAGTGTTTTTTTATGATACCAAGTGACTGAACGAACAAGTCGTGCGCAAGTTGTACGACACGTCTGTCCATAGCAGTTGCAGTGCCACACTTTTTCTTCTTTTAAATATTGACCGGTGAATTTCGATTTAAATCGCAAAGATCGAGGGACACTGCCACTGCGGCTGTTACCTTGACAAGTTGGCAAGTCTCATGTGCCTGTAAATTCAACGCTTATCCTGCACACCACACGAATTTCACCGCGCGGCGGCCGCTCCGTTACCACGCCTTCGTGTACATTAATGGCGAATCTGAATTCTATTTATTAGGCAACAACGTTTAAATTCCCCTGAAGAAATCTACCGCGCGATGAAATTCGTGTCGTGTGCACGGGCATTTACCCTTCAAAACCGGAACGCAATAATGCTTACATTAACTGAGTGGCGGCAGAAATAGGTAAGGTGGTAGTACTTCCGCGACAAACTCTTTCACAAGGTGATCTACTATGCTACTACTACTGATCTAGTGTCCACAAAAGCAATCATCTGATCACCAAGGTGGACAATCATGATAAGATTATATTTTTATTATTACTATATTTTTATAGTATTTCATAATGTAAATAAAACACCCCTCATGAAGACCTTAAATAACACGGTTCATAAAGCAGAAGTGCGCCGTAACTTTGTAGACGTCTGCGTAAAACAATGTCGTCTAGACGCATTCAAGGGTTTCACTGCGTGACTGCAATAGTGGCCCGTTGCTGCGTGGCTATAGTATATATCAAACTTTTTCAAAAATGAGTGCGGGGTATAGCTACGACCGTTAGAATGGCGAAAGCACTTTTTTACAAAGAAGAAAGGTTTTTACGTAATTTTATGATAACCTCAAACCATTTTAGTAAATGTTTTTTCTGTTTATAAGTAATAAGCTCCGTAAAATTATACAATTTGAACTGCCTCTGTGGCCGAGCCGTTACAATGCTGGACTGCCACGCAGAGGTCCTGGGTTCGATTCCCTGGCTGAGAATAATATATGTATGGCCTTCATTTATTTCTTTCGCGAGTTTGGATGTAACTTGTGGTTGTTTATGTGTTCCCTGGCACCCGCGATACAGGGTTTCCCTAGGGCGGGGCTATGAGTGTGTTAAGTTATTAGTATTATATTACTATAATTAACTTACCACATTGCAATATAAAGGGTAATAAGATACACAGCATAAGCACTATTTATACTTTTACAGATATGTACATCATGTCAATATACATGTAAACAGGTTTGCAATGAAAGAAATATTTAATATAAAAAGAAGGTAAAATTCATTAAAAATAAACTCTCTTATAAATAGTGTTTCATATTCAAAGATTTTCAAGATTTCCTTTAAAAAGTTTAATTAAAAAAGCTTTTAAGTATTCTTAAGAAATCGTAATCTAACTACGTTACACATAAAACCGACAAAGTAAAGGTGAAAAAGTGGATGAATTCTTGATGGCTTTTGCAAAAGTTTTCCATTTCAAGTGATCGGTTCTGAATGCAGGTAACAAAAGCGCGGTTCTCCTGCTACGCTTCAATGGCGGTGCCCATATTTTCGCCACAAACGGTCACCTGCCGCACGTTCTGAACCCCAATTTGTCGACTTGTCAATTTTGAAACCTTAGCGTGAAAGGGTTTTGCTGTTACATCTTTTGTCAAAGTAACAAATCAAAATTATGCCCTGTTTTTGTTCAAACAGATAGAGCGGCTTCTAAGCAATAATACCAGAAAAGTAATACGAATAGACATTTCAAAGAATTTGTAGAGAACAGTAATAATAATTGATGAAAAAATCTACATCTCTTAAACCTTTTAAAGTCTTAATAGATTCTATAAAAAGCAATTTAATAACTATGCTAACCACTATTCTGTAATTAAGGATCCATTTATGCACATATTTTGTAATTTAGTAACTAATTTTGCATCTTTATTTAATCAAGTTATTATTTTTGCACCTTTATATATGATTTAATAGTCATTCATGCACCTATTTTATAAAATTTTATTTGTAATAAAATAAAATATCGTATTTATATGCCGTTCCAATTTTCTGGTAATTTAGTTTCCTAAAATTGTGTAGAGGGTGAGACAAGTAAAGGAAAAGCACCTGAAAAGTGTGAGTTCGAGGAGCTCCAGTACAGGCCTTCGATACTTATAAATACCACGAGAACTTAGTGCTACAGAACGCATAAAGGTTAAACTTTTCCTTCCATTGCGTCTTTACTGTTGTGTGGATTTGCAATTCCCTAAGCGGGTGGTCAATGTGTGTAGAAATTTACGAGGAGGGGATGAAACAGTGTGGAATGGAATGATCCCTTCCCTTGTGAAGCAGCACTGGCCCGCCCACCGCTGCGGCCTTCAGTCCTTTAGCGGCAGTACTGCGGTGAGGTCGTGCGCGTGTCTCAGCCTTCGCCTTTGACCGTCAGTGAGCGCGTTTCGAGTGTAACTAACTTTGCTTTGTACCATGACCGGCTCGTTAGTAAACTCAATATGGGTTTTACACAGTGACTGATGTTACTCATAAATTGTTTCAAATAGTTTTAAGCCCCAAAACTTTGGATTTCATTTTGTGATTATGCGATGTGATTGTTTCATTAATCCACTCGTAAGTATTGCTTTCATGTAATTAATTGAAACAAGCTATTTCATTTAGTTTTTTTTTGTACAAATTACGTATACAAATTAATTATAATCAAAATTAATTAAGTAATAGTGATTTTTACATACCGTAAAAAATTCCAAATAGTGACTGTAGTTCCAAATAGTGAATTCATAAAGATATTGTTCTGTATCATATTTTTATTTAACGTAATAAATGACGATAAATTTTAAGCTTTCAAAAATATTTTTTACATTTCATAACCATCATTAAAATTCAATTTATAATTTTCGAAAGAATGAGTCGAAAAACAAAATTAAATTAGATCTTAAATCGAATGTGCACAAATTATTTGTTTTTAGCAATTATAGTAGGTAATTTGTACACTAAAATCCCGTTCTTTGTGAGTCGTCGATCGCTCATTTGTTAAAACGATTGGAATTCCTAAAACCGGTGAATAAATCAGGACTGAAGGGAACCTAAATATTTAATTGAAATGAAAATTTGATCGTAGAACTGGCTTACATTCCCTGGAAATACGTAGTCGTCAGAGGTCTATATTTCCTGGGCTTTTACTCGCAACGATAAATTTCTCTTACTTACGGTAGATTGTTTCCAAACACCACGCAAAATGGGCTCTAGGCTCCGTCGGCTACCACAATGAAAAATAAAAACTTCGCGTGGCTAGGCAGATTGTATTTTCCGCACGCGATTTTGCGACTTCATACTTTGGAAAATAGGTCTGTGAAGCGAAAACTGGAAATGATGCCGACGGAGGCGGAAATTAGCGGTGGTTTTAGCCACACTGGGTTTCAAGGTATCCATATTGGCGTCGAGGAATTAATAAGCGTGGTCTATTTGTGTTTCAATAGCATCCGTCAGAACAAAAAATTGTTCTGCTTGCTAAAAATAGCACAAGTCTCATTCCTGTAAAACCATATATGTTGCAGATGGTTCAAAGGGACAGAAGAATAACGTTAATTAATTGTGAACATTAATACACCTATGTGATTCTCGTCGATAGAACGAGACAAGTTGTTGCACTATACTCTTATATATTTAATCGTTTTCGAGCTAACGTTGTACATTATACTTGAAGTAAAATAAATATTTCCCAAGGATCAATTTAGAAAACAGTAAAAGTTTAGGCTTTTAAAGAGACTACACAGAGTAACTGGAAACAATTATAAATTTCAACGTCATGAACTTTGCTTACTGTCATTAGAGTTTGTTGTTTCGCCTTTTGTAAACTGTTTACATTATGAAAATTTTGGTCAAAGCAATACTAAAACTGGGGTTTATATTCTAAGAACCAACTTGAGTGGAAGTAATTTTCATAAAAAATAATAGCTTTTGTTCTGCGGTTCGGTTTGAATTTCATTTGTGAGCTAAGCTTACGTGCAGCTTGCATAAAGCATGATACAATTAACCCGAAACGTGTCATACATCGCTATACACGGCACCACAAAATTACACAGACTGACCCAAAATACTACGCTTCTCTATTACAGGTGTGGAGATATTTATGTATATGTCGTTGACATTTCTCATTTGCATATGAGAAAAAGCTGGTTACATATCATTATGGGCGCTACACACTACAGAAACTATTTTCTACCTTTCTTCCTACGAGTATCTTGCAGTCTAGATTAGCGGCAGTAGAGCTCCTTGTGAAAGAGTTTGTCCAGGGAAGTACTGCCACCTTACTTATTTCTGCCGCCAATCAGTAATGTTAGCATTACTGTGTTCCGGTTTAGAAGGGTAAGGGTGCTGGTGAAATTACAGGCACATGGGACTTGTCAACTTATGTCTCCGGGCGCAGTGGCAGTGCCCCGCGTTGTACCTTATTGTTTATGTTTCAGTTCTTTCGTTTGATTGTATATGTACAAGAACGTAGTGCATAATACTGTGTTGTTAATTAATTATTTTTACGGACTCCAAGTAAACAGACTTAAGCTAAACATGTTTCGTTTGTAAGATTAAACATTTCGTAGCTGCTGCTACCAAAGAACACGGTTAGCTATCCAAAGAGGAAACATTTCAATCTCCTGAACGAGACGTTCGGGAGATTGAGATCATGGTGTGATCCTTGATGAAATTGTCTACTGTACTAGTTAAAATTTGTATATATATTGTGGAGCTTTTAAGAATTAAATATCAGATTAGGATAATACGGGAATTCATCGGGGATCTCACGGTTATGAGCTTTACAATGCAATTTTCTAGTACTTTCGGTGTAATTGCCGTCTACTGCTTCTTTATAGAGAAGTATCAACAACGTACTGATAAAGTACAATGAACATATTATATTGAATCAATATATGCACTACGCCAAGAAAATACTGACTTTTTTGAGTGCGGTACTATTTATGTGCTGTCTATGACCGGGTTACGTATTATTCATATAAAGAACGAACACTAAGAAAAATTCGGTTGAATTCGAACCAGCGCCTTCAGCATACCATGCCTGACGCTCTCCTAACTGAGCTACGGAACGAACCACCAAACTTTTTTTTTGTGCTTGTGAGAAATTAATTCCTATTTCCTTTACATAATACGACTATAATTATAGGTCAAAATTAGGTCTAAATAATCGATTTGGAACAATAAAGATTGACGTAATTAAAAACGTGGCTATATAAGAAACGCAGGGTTGACATGCTCAGTGATATCGGTCTTGGAGAGTCCCCTGTCATTTGCGATGGCGACCCGGCCTCAGGCGGAACCACTCGTAAAACCATCATAATGGACTTTCATGAATTTATCCCCCAAAATCGACAATTTATTTTTGGTACTCCAGCCACTTTATATGGCCATCACCCATCACGCTTAATCCGATTACGACAGATGGAAAATTCCCAGATTACCATTTAACGAGGGAATCTCAGCGAAAACTTATTACCGTTTCAGATGTCTTAAAATAATTTCTCACTTTTTTCGTCGTGAGCACTTCGTTACGGTCTCTTTCATTTCTTAATTTCTTTCTTTAGTCCATTTATTTTTTCATCCTTTTCACATTCCAGGATCTAATGCTTCAATTACTACGTGAAAAGAGGTGCATGAATAAAAAAAATTAAATGGAAAATGGCGTTACGGCGCGAATAACGATCGGACCCTACCCGCTCTCATTTTTGATTGTTTTTGTTCATGTTGTGTAAACTCTGCGTTAATTATTTAGAATTTATTGTCCAAATTCAACAGTCAGTTTACAAAACGTGCAGAGATACATGCGCACCTCACATTCATTCTTTTGTTTTCTGTTTTGTTTTTTTTTAAATTTAAGTAACATTTATTCTAATTTAAACACATTCACTTTTTCGTTTATCATGTCATCAAAACAAAACAAAAGACTGCCTACAATCATAAAAAACTCCACTTCTAACGACCAATTATAAATGTTATAACTTGAAATGGTACTTAAATTTTTCGAAATATTAGAAGTTAAAAGATGAAATTGACATTCCTAAATTCCTGCTCGTTTTAAAGTAAACATTTTAGTCTCAGATTTAGATTAAATTTTTCAAATAAAATTTAAGACTTCTTATTTTAAAATTTAGACGTTGTTGATTTGTTTTCGTCTTGGTTAATTTTGCAATCGCTTTGAAATAATAATAATTATAAAATTTATTTGTCCTCTTATAAAAAACACAAGCTTTTAAAAATAGAGTTTAAACGTTAATGGTGTTGCAAGACAAATTAAGAAAATTCGCAGATAGAATTCCGAGTAAGCAAATTTTAAGGGAGGTCAGATAATCATAGACAATATAATTATCTGACCTCCCTTAAAATTTGCTCGGTTTCAATACAATAATATTATGTCTATGTACGGAGCCATTTTAAAATGTTTACCTTTAAAATGAAGTAATTATAACCGTAATAAAACCGTGTAACAAAGTGTAAAAAAATTGACAAAAATTAGTGCAATTTTTTAATATGAGTTCTGACGTGGCACTAATGTAGCGCAAACGACTGGAAACATTAACGATATGCATGGACCACAACTAACAAACACACTGTCGGTTTTTGGTTTCCGCGCTGGGAATTTCAACCTGGCAAATGAAACTTGCAGAAAAACAGAGCTTAAAGTGAATAACTACAAGTTGTGAGCTGTTGAATCGATTTAACCTTGAAACGATTAATTGCAAGTTACGTACAAATTATCAGCATTTGTGCCAAATCGGTAAAATAAAACATCCAAAAAACGAACGCGTTAACATTGCATTGGAACTTGCACTGTGTTAATGAATTGACATAGAGATGAACGAGTTTCAGATCGTATTATTTACTTATGACAAAAAATGGCTCTTTATGATAATCGCAAATGCTCACATAGTGGTTGAACTCTGGCGACAGTGCAAGCCGTGTCCAAAAAAGAAAATTAATGAAAAGTGTTGGCAAGTGTTTGGCGGTCAAATCGCGAAGTAATCTTCCGTAGCTTAAATAGATCTGGTGCAACGGTGGACGGTGCTGTGAACAAATGCAACGATGACGGTTAGCCTCATAGATAATCAGCTGCGACTATTACTACGCCCAGAGCAATACACGAAGTCGAACAAACCATCTCCAGGAGTTTTTTTTTTTATAATACCAAATGACGGGACTAACAAGTCGTGCGCCTGGTCTCTTTTTTTATGTAAAGAAGGAAGCAAACGAGGCTACGAGCCACTTGATGGGAGGTGGTCATCGTCGACCATGGACATTTGCAACATCAGATGAGCTGCCTATGCGTTGCCAGCCTTTGAGAGCCCTGTAAACACCCTTTTTAAAGAACCCCATGTCATAGCGCAAAGGGAACACTTCAGGAAGAAGATCATTCCACATCTTGCAGGTTCGAAGAAGGAACGAACGAGATGCCCGTGTGGTCTTACAATGCTAGGCATCTGAGATGTGGGGATGGACTCTACTCCTTTGGCGGGAGGTGCTATGGTAGAAACGAGACGGTGGCACCAGTTCGAAAAGTTCCTCAGAGCACTGCCCATTATAAAGACGATAGAACACACACAGAA